TTACACCCCACATAAACTTTCAGTCATCCTTAACATTTTTCTAATTACAGTAGATATCTTTAAGCCCTAAAGGGTTAAAGGTTTTGAAACGTTTGCCGGATCCTTCCTCCTTCTTCCCATAACAACATACCTCGCTACAGTGCATGTTAAAAAAAGTAATACCATGGCACCATAACCAAAATTGTATTATTACACCTTTTGACAAAATTCTGATGTTTTAAAAATGTTTTTGAAATATGTTTTTGAATTAAATTGTAATTAAAGTCTACTGAGGCGACTTGCTGACACTGACAGTGTTACATGTCAGTTTGTTTCTGGACTTCCTTCTGCGTTCATTGTGTTCAGTTTCCCGCCACTCCTGTCTCCATCACTACCATCCTCATTAGTTCATTTAGTTCAGCTGTGTCTTGTTTTCTTTGTGTCATTGTCGATTCTCGTCAACGTTTGGCTGTGTTTCTCCTGTGTTATTCCTTGTTCCAGTGTATGTGATAATTAAAGTCTTCCTTCCAACGTTCCTTCCCAGTCGTGAGCATTTCTGAACACCACCATCCGTAACAGTGAGAACCCATGTGCAGATTTATTTAAATAAACAAAATACAAAATAGACAGACTTGAACTTGAACACATCAGCAACAGTTATAGGGAACAAAGTTAGACAAAGGCCCAGTCCCAATACTCACTTGAGCCCTAAGGCCTTCCTGGAAGTGGACACTTGTTGAAAGTGCACTTAGCGGAGTAAGTGAGCAAGGGCCCGAAGCTGTGAAGAGCAGAATTGGGACAGTTTTGCACACATCACTATCTACGTCACTTCTGTTGTGATCAGGGGAGTAAACACCGTTCATTTGGCTAATGTGTGTGCTGTGCTGCTTATAATAGCTGTCGCATGACACAATCCTTTGAATGAAAAAATGTATATCTTTTTTTACTCTTAGCTCCCAACCTTTCTGTTAATGTTATTAATATTAAATTAGTTTTTGGCTAAGATAAATTGTGATAACTGATAAGATAAATTGTGATTGAGGTTTACCTGAGCTTACTGCCTTACTGTATTCACAGCGATTCGAAACAATTTTAATTATGTTATTATGGAAATTGATATATGAAATTCTTCCCATCCCATACATGAAAAAATACATGACGTGTTGGTGATATATAGGGTATATATTAAAATAGTCTTACACAGGTTATATGAAATAAAATGACACAACCCTGTCTCTTTTTGTTACATTTTAGTTTTATTGATCAATAATAGCCATTATTAAAGTATAAGTAGCCTAAAAAGTATAAGAAGCTATATAAGTCAAGAAATAAAGCAAGTTAAAAGATTCAGTCAAACATAAGTCAATAGGCTAATGTTACAACGTTACCGTTAAATAGCCTAAATATATAAAATTATGAAACTTCACTTTGCCCTCAGCCAAAATGATTTGCCAGGGAACAAATCATAGATTAATGAAACCAAAGATCGCCCGTTAGATATACACAAGCCGATTTATAGCTCATGTTTAACCACTAGACACAGAGCCTGCGGGAAACGTCAGAATGACTAGCCGAGGTAAGGCTGTTCCAGCTGGGGTACATGAGCACTGAGCGCCCGCTGATCCCTGGAACTCCGAAAACGTCAGATCAAATTTTTAAATAGGCGTTATCTTTATAAATAAACCACAGATTTGAGCTTTAAACAACTATATTCTCGACTGAAAAACTCTTAAAACTACATTTCGTGACACAATAACACTAATATTTTTAAATTTCGCGGCCTTGAAAAACACTTCACCACACCGGCTTCCTTTATCTTCGGAGTTTCCGCTCCCGAACAGCAGCACCATAGCAACCGTTCTCCCCCATTGGTTAGCTGTTCGAAACGTCACAACACTACAAGGATTCTGGGTAATAGCCCACAGCAAAGTGAGGTCTGATGCACACTTGCGAAAAGGGTGCATTAAGTGCCCTTACGATCACCCCTGGAGAACACATTAGAGGATCGGGACACCCTACGGCCTTGCACCCCTTAGCGAGAACGCGCATTTGAGGGGCACAAGGGCGCAAGTGCGGATATTGGGACAGGGCCAAAGAAACAAAGAAACATGAGACTAATGATTGACAAGAAACACCTGAGCATGATCAAGACAATAAACCAATGACAAAACAGAACTGATGAACACATGACAAGAGCAACCAACCTGCACAAGACACATACGATAATAGATATCCATAATAAAGGCTAGATGTCTTACGGCGGAGTCTCTATCGTCATCACCGGCGGCCATCTTGTCACAGACAAGGCTCTGTGGTGCCTGATGTAAGATAAGTGATCAGCACGAACACAAATACTCTTATCTCGTTGAAATCTTGACGGAGGATTTACAAACGGTTTGGTGTCTTACAAACGTTATTAATGTGGCTATAATTCTGGATGATTATTTAGTTATACACTTATTATTCATAAGTATGCAGTGTCATAACTACATCTCTGAAGTTTATAACAAACCAAACCGTTTGAAAATCAGTAGAAAATTGAGCAAGTTATGGTTATTTAAAAAGTACATGCACCATTAACACAATGTAGAGTGAGCGAGCTGCCTGTGACAAGATGGCCGCCAGGTGTGGACGTCGACCTCCATTGGCCAGCAAGATTTCACCTGGTGCCCCTGGAATCACAGACAATACCACCACTGATCATTGTGTTCATACACTCACACAGAAACAAACTGCACAGCTTTGTCTTGTTTTTCTTTATTTTGAAAATATTTTGGAAACAAACACACACACACACACACACAACTAAATTATGAATATAATATAAATAAGTTTATATTATAAGATTATTGCAGAACAAAAAATACAGAAACAAAAAGATACACAAAAAAATAAATAACTATACACAAACTGGAATGCAAAATGTAGCAAATGTTCTACAGCCTTGAGATATCAACCTAAATTTTGGAACACAACTTGTTCAGATTTTTGGCTTTCATTTTCTTGCAGTTTTAGAGTAAAATATATTTTGTAATATATATTTTATATAAAATATAATAATGATATTTTTACATTGCACATGTTCATAAACTCAAACTTATATAACTTTTTTCTCTGTTTCACTTTCATAATTTCATAACTACACTTCTGCAATAATCTGGCAAATGTCTTCTTTAAAACAAGACCAACCGTAGGTCTATATTCCAAAGCATTCTTGAATTACAACCATTTAAGTTTGGATTGTTTTTCTATGCGAAAAAGGGTGGTGACAGATAAAGGGTTAAAAAAGCTGATGATAGTGAAACTATGAAAATATGGCAGCACCTAAACCACGTTATAGCTTAAACACACAAACAGCAAGAATAATTACATCTGGTATTCATGCACAAAACTGTATTCATTGAGCACTTCTCTATACAGTAGTTACATTTTCAAAATTAATTTTGAAAGTGTTTGTTTTCCAGTAACAGTTAGATGGTAGCAATGTCCTACTAACTACACATTACTTATTTAGCCAATTCAAATAAAAATACCATAAAATAGTGCACAAGTTCAACTAACTGTCATGATAAGCTATTTCAAATTAGCAAACGTTACTAGCATCGTCGAACTAACTGCTAACTTATGCATAATGCAACATAGATAAACAGATGCATCACATTCATTACCTCTATCTTTATCCTGTTTTTCTTCCTCTTCTCTTCTTTTTTTTTCTTCCCTGGGCACCAGAGGGCTTCGGTCTTTTTGACATAATGATAATAACTTATCTGTGAATTCGGCCATCCGGGGCGGGGGGAGATTGATACGTCACTCGGACCGGGGTGGATCGGGAAAGCAATGTAGTTATGTTTTTGTAGGACGATTGCTTTTTTTAATATATATATTTTTTAATATATATATATATATATATATATATATATATATATATATATATATATATATATATATATATATATATATATATGTATGTATATATATTTTTTAATCTATAGTATTAAAGTTGTTTTGTAAAAAACTATTAAATGCAATATTTTAAAGAAAAGTATATGTAATTGTATTATTTGAAATATAAAAATATTGTTATTCTTCAACCCATTAAAGTGTTAAGGCGCTTTTTCTACCTGATTTGACCATTAAAAATGTCTTTACTAACCCAGAATTCTCAATCTTTTTTTATCATATAAACCCAGTTTAAAGTTACATTAAACCTAAAATTATATTATATTGACAATGATATACAAAAATTATATATGTATATATATATATATATATATATATGTATATATTTATATAAATACAATAACAGGGTAACATTTGACACTAATGTTATATAAATATATTGTTTGTAGAATCAAGTAAGTGCAAGGTAGCATTTATAGTTTCAAATTAAAATTTGACAACACAAACACATTATGTAGATCTTTAATATACAAGTTCACTTCACTTCTGGAAAATATATATATTTTAAATGCATCATATAGAACATCATATTTGATGTTGATGATGTTTTGAATTACATTATTGTCTTAATATAATATATCAATTATTTATTATTTATATAATTATTGTACTGATTTTTCACTATTTGTAGCTTTTTTTGCAGTATGACAAGTGCATTTTTAAGTACAGTTGTTTCATCTAAACTCTCCACTAATATGAGATCATTAGTAATGATTATAAAACAACAAGAAAGATAATGTTTAAAATATTTTTTTATGTTGAATATAGCATGTCACCTCTCAGGACCCTGCTGTCACCCAAGGACAGGTGCATGTGTGTTGCAGGACATTTCATCCAGTGTGTGTGTGTGTGTGTGGGCAGGTTTAGGGGTGGAGTCAGCCTCTGTCTAGCTCAATGTCAATGTCTTCCTTAAGATCGCACTTGTTGATCCTTATATCACTTTCACTCAACCACAGTATAAATGCATGTCAGGGCTCTCACAACTCATGTCCGATGTAGCATGCAGTGACATTGTTGGTTCTGGACACTTTTGATACTTTTTTGTGTCTGTTTTTGAACAGAAGAATGTTTTCAAAAACCACCATGAGAAGAACAGCATCTGGGGTAAAGACGGATTCTACGTGCTGGTTATCTGTCTCACAATATTCATCATCATCTTCAGCTGTTTAATGGTACGTATCTCTCACAGTCTTCTACCATTCAGTTGATTTGAATAGGATAGGATGCTATGTGGGAAAGATGAATGAAATGCTCTTTATTATCTCAGGAAACCTAATGTTTTATTGATTTTGTTTAAAACTTTGTCTCAGAAGTTTCTCCTAACATTCCTTCATAGACATAGAACGAGTTTCAAATGTGTAGAAAGTTGTCAAACAGTAAGATAATAACACTTGATGAAATGACAACTCGATGAGAAATGTTTAAGTTCGTATTGAGACTAAAAGTAGATGTGAGATTGCTGGGATCTTTCTCAGGAGAAACAGCTGAGAAGCAGGAAACCTACGCACAAGTCCCCGTTTGATCTCCATTCCATCTCAGTGCTGTCTCGGAGAAACAAATAAGATATTAAAGAGTTCTCATTTGTGATTTTTTTTCTGTCCTACGGGTTTGAATATTGAATTTGAATATTGAATTTAAATATTGAATTGAGTTTATTCACTTGGAACGGTTCAAATACTTCCTGTTTCATGCTTGTCTCAGCAAACACCCTCGTGAAGTAAACACCAAACGGTTATTAACATTCAAGTCTGCACACACTGAAGGCACTCCTTGGGTTTTGAGTAATAGTGAAAAAGACCTGAACAGAAGCAGAGACACAGGATATGATACAGAAAAGAGTCATTGCAAAACGGATGTATTGTGGCAGAGGAAGTCGCATGGTTTCCTCTGGTGGTTCAGCACTTTAAAAGGATCAGCACTGCCATCTTGGTCACACCTGACTCCGCCCTCTGATTGGTCGACGTTTGCTCTTAACGTTTTAAGTCTGTCTTAACTCTGGCGATGACATCATAGCACGTCCTCAGAGCACCCGCGCTCTCCTGCGCCGACGGACTGAAGAGCTTAAGCAATAATTACCACGTTAAGCTGTGAGCCGATCTCAATGACAGGGTCCGCTGAAGCATTATTAGCATTGTGATTCTGTAAATACTAGGACAGGAGGAGTTTTCAAACTCTTTACGGTGATCCTTTTGCGGGTGGCACCCCTTTAAATTTATATTTGTATTTATATTTTGAAAGATCAAAATATTATAAATACGGTAAAACATTATCTGGAAAATATATATATATATTTTTTGATTCTAGGCTACCCACCATTAGCTTACTGTTAGTTGTGAAAAGAAACATAACATCTTTCTGAAAAGAAACATAAAACTATGGCGATGTTCAGATAATAAAAATGTTTAATTTCATGATTTCCAACTAGTCTGTAGAAAGCAGTATGAAAAAGGCAATAATATAAAATTTGGTAAAGGTGAACCAGAACTATTAAAAACATTTCTGTTAACTGAAATAAAGCTGAAACAAAATTAAAATAAAAATATTAGTTGAAAAACTTAAACGGAAATTATAAATGAAAATTTAAACTTAAATTGAAATAAGTTTAAGTTGAAGCACTAAAATTATTGACAGGAAATAGATCAAACTAAAACTGGAAAAATTCTAATTAAATGACTAATGGACATAATGCATACTAAAAGTAACATGAAAAATAAAAATATAGCTAATTCAAAATATGAATTATACTATAATAAAACTTAAATTAAAAATTAAAACATCACTAATTGTAACATTATATATCATTTATCTGCATTGAACTTTATTTATAATTTATTTTTTAAATATATTTAATTTTATTATTTCACTTTTTTTTACACATTTTCCCCCATGTTCACATGTACAACATGCATTTATATGTTGGAGAAGGCATGTGTGTTTGATTGCTGAGTAGTGTTCATTGATAATTCATTCATAAATATTATCACATGGCTCTCTAGAATACTTGATTCTGATTGGTCAAGTTAGACATTTCTAACAATTTAAATGTACATTAACAAAGAATCTGCATTAAACAACAGTATTTATTCAAATTAAACTTTTTTAAAACGTGATTCAGCTTTATGACAGAAGTTGACGTTTGTGTGAATCGTGAACGCTGTGAGAGTGTGCATTGTGAACGCTGCGTTTTGTCCCTGTAGGGGAGCCGGATTCATTTGCAAGTTTCATTCGATAATTTAGGAACCCCATTAGTGTGGGAAAACAAACAGAAATAAAAGTGTTGTTTGTACAAAGTTAAAGCTCATTTGATAGAAGTCAGCACTGAAACCATACCACACAGCTCATTATGACGATGAGATAGAGACCTCTGGTGGAAAACATGGGAGTTACTGGATACAAACACGTTTATTTTATGGTAAGAAAAAACATACTCACTCATATTTAAATAATTGCTGATCTAGGGGCATTGCTAAAATAGATGTAAAGGTCTTTTCCAACTAGATACATACTTTTAAAACCATGACTTTGAATTCACTTATGACCCTCAAAGCAATTGATTTAATCATGGATGCATGTGTTTTAATGTAAAGATTAAGATTATAAAAGCTCATTTAAATTCTCAATAAGATTTGAAACTGACTGAAAGTATTCAGGTTAAGAGACGCTTTAAATTATGACGTAGAATAAAAAAATACTGTTCTTACAAATTACTAATTCTTTTTTGCAAATTTAATACATTCATTAATTCTGATAATATGATTATTAAAATTAAATTTAAACTTAAATCAGTAAAATTTCTGTGTTCCTAGTGTTTATTAAAAGTTAGTTTGTTCGTCATGCTTCTTTCTCTGTGCATTTCACTACTGGAACCCCTGGCAATATGTGAATGTATCGAGTGAAGTTTTATAAAAAAAAAAAAAAAAAAAAATCTTGCTCTGTATCTTGCTGGGAGTGCAAGTTGTTTAGATTGAAAATAGACAATAAAACCGTGTCTGAAATGAAGATACATTACAAACTGATTTGTCCCTTCATTGCAAATGTCTAGAATTGCTTTTTACATCAAAAAACTGTTGGGAAATGGTTGGATGTAAAGTTTTGTGGAAACTGTGATGACACTAGTGTCTTAGTGGCCCCTAATGTAATAACAAATGATAATTTTGCTGGAAGTGAATCAATCAAAACCAACTTTAGCCGGAAATAACATTATTCAAAATCGCTATAAAGCCAAAACAATCTCTGTTACCGTAAATTGTATGTTTATCTCTGTAAAGCTGCTTTGAAACAATCTCCATTGTTAAAAGCGCTATATAAATGAAGATGACTTGACTTGACTTGACTACCAATAAAAAAAAAAAAAATCATATCTTCTCCTGACCCATTTTGTTAAGTTTCATTTGAGAAATAAGTGTTTGCAAACCTGGCTCCGTAAAAACATCTCATGTACTTCTGCAAAAGTTGCACATTTATGCATTTGGATTTATTGCATTTTTATTTACATTGTGCATTTGGGTAATACTTTATTTGGATGGTCCCTTTTGAACATTGTTGACTATAAGTAACTTTGCAACTACTTATTTTAACCCTACCAGTCTACTAATACTCTACTAACACTAGTTAGTAGACATGTAGGTGCAAAGTTACTTATAGTCAACAGAATGTTAAAGGGACCATCAAAATAAAGTGAAACCTGCATTTGTAACTGGGATTTGATCTTAACTCTACTCCCATGTTCTATATTATTCTATGAATGAGTGTGTCGAGATTTTCGATGAGTTCACCAATCTGCAATTTTCAAACAGAATTCAATTCTGCTGTAAAGCAGCTCTAAAAAGACAATAGTTAACAGTCGTTATTCAGTTGATTCAGTTCTGTTCAATGACTGTAGTTCATCAATTGTGGAATGAGTTGAGTTCAGCTATAAAGCAGCTCTGGAGAAAACAGTGATGTCATCGTCCAGCTCTCATCCAATAGTGTCAGTGCAGTCAGATCAATAATATGGAATATTAAGTGTCTCCAACTACGCAAGCCAGAGGCGACAGTGGCAAGGAACCCAAATTCAGATATGGAGAAAAAAAACCTCTGGCCAGACGAATGAACATGGTGTGATTATGATTCCAGGCTGCATCACAAACCAGATTGTGGATTGATTTCATTCAGAATATTTCATACAGTCTGGGGGATACATCACGCCAGCATATGGAGGGAGGAAGAGTTGAAGCTGGTCGTAGGGTCTGTGCGGAGGACTTGTCTGGTTCTCGTTGTTTTTAGTGAGGATCTGTGCCGATGGCCGTCTAGTCAATAAGGTCTTTACACGAGGTCTGTCTTTAGGGCTCGCCTAGTTTTCATGGTCTCCACTGACATTCAGGGCTGTTGTGGTCGTCAGGGTGCAGGTTTCCTGTCTGATCTGGATATGGACCGGATATGGTGTACTACGGTAACCTCGGGATAAGAATGAGACAGATTAAAATTAGCACAGGCCTAATATTACGACGTAACACATCTGATGTCATGGGAAGTGTTCATGGTTCTGGTTGAATTTATTCAGCCTAACAATCCTTTAAAGAGCGTGAATTATAGAAATGTGATAGTGTGTTATGTGTATGCCAGGTTAAAGAGATGGGGTTTTAATCTAGATGTAACCTGACAAGAGTGTGTCTGTCTCCCAAACACGGCTAGGAAGACTGTTCCAGAGTTTGGGCACTAAATAGGAAAAGGATCTACCGCCCACAGTCGATTTTGATATTCTTGCTACTGGTCAGAATTTTGAGATCGCAGTGGACGTGAAGGATTATATGCGATAGTGTACAGATTTGTTGCTGAAACATCATTATCACAGTCATCATCATTAACAGGAATGACAAAAATCATTTACTTTCTTTAGTGTTTTTTTTTTTTTTGTGAGATTTAACCTATAACTATCTGCAAGTAACTTTTATAAAGTAATATTTTCTTTCCTTAGGTGCTTTACCGAATAAAGGAGAAGGAATTCTTGGATCAGCAGCTTAAAGACCCATCCCCATCCACCCGGGACGTCCAGCTGGCACCCATCCCTGTTCATGGTGCTCAGCCTCCTTTGACCCTCAAGAACAGCATGGTCCAGGCCAACCAGACGTCCAAACCCAGTGCCACCCATTTTACCAGCAGTACAAGCACCCCGTCCTGTAACATCAACATCAGTCAAACTCTTTCCAGCGTGACGACGTCAGAGCCGCAGTGCCCACCCAGCCACTCTGTGGCTGAACTCAAACCCAGTGTGTCCTCCACACATTCACCCTTTAGGATGAAGCCTGGCGGAGGCCTGCAGGAGCGGTGAGACTTATTTTGTGCATGAAAGCGCATTAATAAAATCAACAGTTATAATGTGCACCCTCAAACCCACATGCTGTTCTGTAAACACAAAAAGGAGAATTTTAGAAGAATTTGAGGGATAAATAATAACAATTTTTCTTCTTTTTTTTGTAGAGTACTATTTTTCTTACGTGAAAAAAAATTCTAATTGAATGTGGTGGATTTTAACTATGACAAGGTGATTGACAGGGCAGTTTAAATGGCGATAGGATGCACATAACTAAGTGACAGAGCTGTCCGTTAAAAACGCAATTGACGCAATATATATACTCTTCTGCTACACACTCAAAAGTATGTACATATTTCTTCACAAAAACAGTACATACTTTTTAGGGCATAGTATAAGTAGGCAAATTGGGACGCTGCATGAGGCTATAAATCTGCAATGACATATATGACATAAGTTTGTGTTTATTGTCTCCCCACACTGACCACACACCATCAATTTGGTCACAGCGCCACTTATTAGTTATAAGGACATTACAATTACAATAGGTGACATTCAAGTATTTATAGGTATTTATTCAGCTATATTCAACCATGTATCAACATTTAACTAAAACACGTGAAATTAAAACTGTCCTTGTGAAAACCCAGTCTCTTGAAATATTAATCATTTTAAATATGAAATATTAATTATAATGAGTACACTGTTGAACTACAATGTTGTGAGATGATGCTTTAGTTAATCATTATCCATGTTATATAATTCCTAAATTAATTCTGCTATAATTGCCAAATGAGCAATCATAACATGTCATGTTTAACAATCTTGCAGTTTTTAAAATCAATGTGATATCTATCATGGCTCTTTGGAGCAGCAGTCTATGTCTCCTGTCTATGTTTATCCATATGTGCGGATATATGGTATAAGACCAAATACATTTTTTCCTCAAATATTACTGTTATTTTTATTTCTCTCGCAGACGAGGATCTAATGTCTCTCTAGTGCTGGATATGAGTGCTTTGGGATCGGTGGAGCCTATAAGTTGTGGGGTCGTGACTCCACGAGAGCGTGTGACTCAGGAATACCTGCAGTCTGCCGGTCGAGTCCTCTCACGACAACAGCTTCGTGACATCACATTGAACACCCAGAGACTGCATGCGGAATTTGTCGTAAGTGACACACCAGTGCACCACTAATAAATACTTTTAGCATTAATGGGGTTCAACTTGACTTTTATGTGTCATGGGAATTACACACAGTTGAGGTTCAGTTAAGGTGTGTTTCCTTGATGTTGTCATGGGGTTGCTCCACAAAAGATGACGACAAGGAAAATAGCGTACAAATAAGGTTATTTACTTTAATAAAACAAAGGTATAAATGCAAGAAGGTATAATAAAACAGTGTGTCCTATACACAAACAACTGAGGCGATGGTAGCGGGAGAAACCAAGGTGGCGATGATGGTGGGAGGAGCCAGGAGCAGGAGTAGCCAGGTGGTGATCCAGAGCACAGCCAGGATAAAAGCCCACAGCCGAGTCGACGGAGGGAGGTGCCATTGTGGAGACTTGGCTGACAACTCCCGGGGGATGACTAATGGAGATGACACCGATGGTAGTGGAGCCCAAGTCGCAGACTGGACCAGGCGGGACCGAGGACCAAGGCGGAGCCTGAGCGAAGGCGGAACCAGATGGAGCCGAAGGGGTGGAGAGACGTAGTGGACGGCTCGTAAATCCATGCCGCAGGCAGGGTGACGTCTGACCAATCGGAGCCGGAGGAATGAGGGAGCTCGGTGGAGCCGTAAGGACGATGGTAGGGAGGGAGGGATGTGCCAAAGTGGAGCCAACAGGTTGACGAACCGAAAAGAGTGACGGTATCAGCGGCTAGAGGCAGATGCAGGGGATACACTTACCTGAGCGACACTGGAGACCAGAAGACCCGAGGTAGATCCACACAACTGAGTGGTGTTAGAAGAGAAGTCAAGGGGCTGAAGGAAACCAGTGGAGGTGGGGCTGACAGACTGGCTGAATCATGAAGTGGAGGCGGAAGAGGGAGGCTGGGTGGGATCAGTGACAATGACACAGAATTATCTGGTTCAGTTCGTCATCAAGCCCGCTCCAAAAGTGCATCTTTATGGTGTACTCGTCCCAACTAACCTGATGGCACAGTTCCAGTAAATCATCCATAAAATCCTCCAGTAGCCGTCCTCCTTGAAATAAGGATTGGAGTTGCTCCTCTGGGTGGATGGTGTCTGCTGAATAATCCATTTAAAAAAAAAAAAAATTGCAGTCTGGTGTTCTGTCACGTAGTAGTTCTCAAAGGATGACGATGAGGAATATCGAGTTCAAATAATAGTGATAACTTATAGCTTACTAGTGATAACCTAATAAAACAATACAAAGGCAATAATCCAAGAAGGTGTAACGTAACAGTGTGTCCTAATCACAAACAACACCAGACAAACAACTGAAAGAACTGAGGGGCTTAAATAGACAAGATAACAAACTTAATGCAAACAGGTGGGTGGTAACCAAGGTGACAAACTAGTGGTGGGAAACAGAGAACAAAGGAAAACTAACTAGATAACTAAAGCAGGCAAAATAGGAATTGAATACAATATAAATGAAACCAAAACTGAGCATAACTGTGATAGATGTAGGATTTAATGGATGCTTTATGTTGTATCTGAATGTAATATGCTGAAATCTATTCTGTACACTTTGAAAGTGCTTATGTAATGGTGTTGACCATTTCCATTGTACTCAGCTGAGTGTGTAACTTTTTTTATCCACAGGAAATTCCCATGAACTTTGTGGATCAGAAAGAACTGGATATCCCAAATCATGGATCAAAAAATAGATACAAGACCATTTTGCCAAGTTAGTATCTGAATTTCTACATTTTGTTATTATTTGAGTTGAATCATGCCATGGTACTGGTATCAACTACTGAAATTTAGGTATAGTGGCAACACTAAGTGCTACATTTACATGCAATAAAATAAATCGTCAATAATTGTATCGACTGAAAAGCCATCTTGCAAACTCATTGATCGATACAACCAAGTTCGACCAGAATGACATTTCGATCCAATTGAAATGGGTTTTGTAGTTATGTATGTATCTTAAAGGCCCACTGAAGTGCCTTGTAACGCGCAGCTTTGTATGATGCATTGACGTAATTTCCACTGAAACAGGAAGCTAAGGCGGGACATTTTGAATGACTCCTCCCCCTTTTCAAACAGCCAATAGCGTTTAGTTTACCTCACAGACTGCAAGTCGTACTTGACAGCACCATGGAAGCGAATCCAAGCGCTGATGATACGTTGGATTCAATAGTAGAGGTGTGAATAAATTCTAGCCTTTTCATTCTTAACCAACGTACAGTTGGAAAACAGAATAAAACTCGAGCAACCGATGTTTATCAGTGGTTGTATATCAGGCAGGGACACGTTTGTGTGCACTTTGTGTTGTGAATTCACCGGAACAAATAGAGAGTCTCCGCAACGGCGATAGATTAAACTACAGAGTGAAGACTGAGAACACTGTATCCATGCCACTGATAGCAACGGCAACGCGCACTCAGCAGCTTGATTTAAAAAACAACACAGCAACTGAGGTTCTGTTCATGATAGACGCACATGCACATGTAAATGCGTATGTGAATCAGATTGCAAAGTTTAGGGTGAATACTGTGTAAACATAACTCTCAAAATCTGAAATCAGACTGAATTTATTTGGATTGATGAAAATCTGTGTAAATCACAGATTCGTGATTTTATCGCATTTTACAAAATGTCCCAACTTTTCTGGAAATGTAGTTGTACTACCATTATTTTGAAATCAACATACAGTAGCATGCAGTTTTATTTTCAATAAAACATAACATAAGTGTGTTTGAAGTGAAACTGATTTGTAGGGTTTTAAACTAGAGCAGGTATGTTAATAGTGGAATGGTGGCTTTTTAATGTCTCAGGGACCCCTCATGACTATGTGGACCCCTTTAAAGGGTTAGTTCACCCAAAAATGAAAATTGTCATTAATGACTCACCCTCATGTCGTCCCAAGCCCGTAAGACCTCCGTTCATCTTCGGAACACAGTTTAAGATATTTTAGATTTAGTCCGAGAGTTTTCTGTCCCTCCATTGAAAATGTATGTACGATATACTGTCCTTGTCCAGAAAGGAAATAAAGACATCATCAAAGAAGTCCATGTGACATCAGTGGGTTAGTTAGAATGTTTTGAAGCATCGAAAATACATTTTGGTCCAAAAATAACAAAAACTACGACTTTATTCAGCGTTGTACTGTCTTCCGGTTCTGTTGTCAAACCGCGTTCAGTGATGCCGTATGGCGCTGCTGACGTGTATCTGGTGCATCCGTGTATTCGGGTTCAAATAAATATGGCTGGACTGTAAACGAAGCTCGGGCGCACCAGACACACGTCAGCAGCGTCTTACGTCATCAGCGTTACTGAACGCGGATCTACAACAGAACCGGAAGACAATACAATGCTGAATAAAGTCATAGTTTTTGTTATTCTTCGACCAAAATGTATTTTCGATGCTTCAGGGTGAGTCATTAATGACATAATTTTCATTTTTGGGTGAACTAACCCTTTAAAGTTGGCTGCTTGTAGTTAGGTCAGAAAGAACACTTTATTCATTTTCTATTTTTACATCACAAGGTATATTTTATCCCAATATAATCTATAAAAGGTACATACTTAGAACAGCAGTAATGTAGTGCTTTGCTAAGGCAGCATACACGGCCGTAGGCAGGGTTTTATAATCACAGAGATCCCAAAGGTGTTCCCAAATTTGAGGTAGTTAGGGGGGTGCGGGGGAATGCTCCCTCGAGAAAATTTTGACATTTTCACAATCTTGAAAAGGTTCCTGGAGATCTACCTACCTGGAGAGTTCAGATCCAACACACGTCTGTAATTATCAAGTGCTCCTGCAGATCTTAATTCGTTGGTTCAGTTGTGTTTGATCAGGGTTGAAGCTGAATTTTGTAGGAAGGTACATCTCTAGGAACAGGACTGGGCACCCCTGATCTAACAAATCTTTCACAAAACTTTATCTTTCAACAAAACTACAAAACAAAATACTCAGAAAAAAATATAAGCCATTTGACGCGATCTGGGACACCATTTAAACATATTACACCATTGTTTCCGACTCTGGGATCCTTCTGTACAGAGATGCAAATCAGCTGTTTAAAATTGAAACAATATTCACTGAAAATTCAATAATATTATTGATCTGACTTTACTGACGCTGCTGGATGAGAACTGAACTGAGCTGGACCATGACCTCATTTTTTGCAGAACTGCTTTATAGATGAAATGAACTAATTTAATAATTGATGGTCTTTACAACAGAACTAAATCAACACTGAACTGACTTCAGCTGAACAACATCTGAAATGCATAATTTTCCTGTTATCACTCTAAAGCTGCTTTGAAACAATCTGTATTGTATAAAGCGCTATATAAATAAAGGTGACTTGACTCTGCTTGATATTACTTTCCACCACTGTGCATTATGGATGTTGAAGTTTCCCTATCTATTTTGCAAATGGGAAGACAACAGCCTTTTTTCTGTTTTCTCTAATCAGATAGCACTGATATCAAATTTGTTTTCGCCTTTCTACTGCATAGGCAGCCAAGTTTTATTGTAAGTCCATTTACCCCTTTAATTATATCATATGTTTGCTTTATAAATGTCATCGTCTTGTGCACTAGTGGGCCACTGTAGTATACTGGTGAATCAATTATAATGCAACAGAAATTTTCACAAAATTCACATTTCATTTCAGATCCACATTCCAGGGTTATTCTGAAGACTAAGAAATCGAACGACCCGCTCAGCAGTTACATTAACGCCAACTACATACGAGTAAGTTTTCAGTGACACACTCATAATTTTTTCAATAGCATATGCCATTGAGAAATTGTAAATTGTAAAGTGAAACATTATAAACAAGAAAGTTTAATTTGATGCCAAAGTATCGAAGAGTTTTTTTTGCTCTAACTTGGCTCTGATGGTGCTTCATACTTAGTTCACCTCCATTATGTCATTATATCTGTTTAAGTTCAGCACTTTTTTATCCAGGGCTATCTTGGAGATGAGAGGGCCTTCATTGCCACTCAGGGTCCAATGATCAACACGGTGAATGACTTCTGGCAGATGGCCTGGCAAGAGGACTGCCCTGTCATTGTCATGATTACTAAATTGAAAGAGAAAAATGAAGTAATTTCAATTCAAAAGATCTATAATGCTCTTAGTATGACTAAATAGACTGTGCATGTGCAAAGAGTGTGTTTTACTGTTTCAGAAATGTGTTCTGTACTGGCCTGAGAAGAGGGGGATCTATGGGAAAGTGGAGGTCTTCGTTAATAATGTTAAGGAATGTGACCACTATATAATCCGCTCCCTTATACTAAAGGTATTTGCATTATAAGTAAAAGTAATAATCTAAAAGAAATACTATTGTCAGATACTCTAATGGATCATATGTTTTGATTCCCTCAGCAAGGAGGCCAGAGTCGTAAAGTGCAGCACTACTGGTATACCTCATGGCCGGACCATAAGACCCCAGAGAGCGCTGGACCCCTGCTGCAGTTAGTTAATGATGTTGAGCAGGACAGGAGGGGCTTTACATCCTGTGGGCCGATTATTGTACACTGCAGGTACAGGAGCTCATCAGCAAAACATTAAAAAGTGTCTACTGGTTGATGCACTGTATATAAAATATAATTCATGTGTTATTGTGAAAAACTATTATACACAGTAGTATAATAGTTAATAGTTATAACTATGATAAAACTACTATAATCCAGTGCTTTGTAAAAAAAAAGTGCTTGAAAACCATTTAACTTACCTTTGAATTTTTGCAGTGCTGGAATTGGTCGGACAGGGTGTTTCATGGCTACAACAATTGGTTGTCGTCAGTTGGAGCTGGAGGGAGTTGTGGATGTGCTGGGAATTGTGTGCCAACTTAGGACAGACAGGTACAACTGTTTCACTGTTTTTCAATTAAAATTTGTGACTGTTTCACTGTTTAGCAATTGAAATGTTAATGTATTTGGTCTTGGCGTACTAGATCTCCAATGTTGCTGAATACTGCTGTTGATTATTGCTGCTGCTGCAGAGCAAGTATGGACTTGCTACTGCTAATAGATACACAGACACACTACTGTGAGCATGTGAGATGTGCTGCTGCTGCAAAAATAGACATACATAAATCCCGTAGCAGATCTAGGCAGGTGGAGCTGGAGGAGGTGAAGGGTTAGAGAGAAAGGCTTACAGGCTGGTATTTTGGTTACACATTAAACTGTATCTTGCTTTTAACTCCACGTAAACCGTCACTGGATGGAAAGACTAAGAACATTACTTAACACATCCAATATTACAATAAATTAGGGGTGTGACGAGACGCTTATCTCACAAGAACGAGACGAGACGAGATTTTTGCACAATTTGTCAGAAATCCTCAATGACTAAATTCATGACTGGAAAAATAGTATGCAGGTGCATTTAGCAATTTTTTAACTAATAATCTTCTAATGCATGTCATTTCAGGTCTACTTTATGAGTATGAATTATCAAATGCATTAAAAGAAAACAATATACAAGCACTGTAAAAGGTTTTTATTGACTGGCTTTTCTCCTGTTTGATTTCACGAGTCTCTTCAGACCTTACTGTACATTTAAGAGCTTTCAGAACTTCTGATTGAGGCTGTGTGTGACCTAACTGAACTCATTGAAGTCTGAAGTGCAAACAATAAGTGCAAGTGCAACTATAATCAAAGTTAGCACACAGACTCTTTATAATTGTTTTGAAATTGCTGTTTTATTTTGCACCAGCAGTTGTAGGGTTAACATGGCGAGTTCGGAAAAGGTAGAGAGAAACGAGGCTGGTGTGTTTGTCTCTGTTGTTCTTGTGTTCCGATTTAAGTTCAGAAACAGAGCCTCCCATGTCTGTTGTCCTTAAGACATTACAGTGCTCTCTAAATATTCGAAGTGCAAACAGAGACCATAGCCGCAAATAAACAGTCCAGAGATGGGTATTGGGAGACGGACAATGAAGCCTAATTTGTGCGCAATGCACATCAGGGAGCTTGTGTTTTACTTTCAAATTGGTGATCGCGCGTGTATAGGGAGCAGCGGTGCTGAGCATGCATTTTACAAGATAAGACATTTATCAGACGTTTAGTCTATGTTGGGCAACGAATCCTCCGCCATCGTCACGCGAACAGTGAACTGTGATTCGTGCTGCACTGATTGCAACGGCAACTTGTGCTGGATGAGCAGAGCAGACTTTTACATTCGTTTAATGGTTAATATTTATTATAAAAACAGCAAAACGATAGTTTAGGCGAATGTGAGTGTACAGTAGCGGTGGAAAATTGTATTGTAATCTCACCCTCACGCTCAGTCATGGCGAGATCGCGAGACAGCTTTTCGCTCAACGGGAAATCTCGTCATATTTTAGTCTCACGAGATCTCGTCACACCCCTACTATAAATGCAGTATAATAAATGGTAAGAGCAAGAATTTCCAGTATTTTCACTGTGAATAGAGGGAAAACTGTGTCTTAGTCTTTTCAGATTATGCTGCTTACATTACACAGGAATATTTCAATATCAACATTAACATATTCCAACTGTTTGGGGAAAAACACTGGATCCAGTCACGAATGCACATTCATAGTTTATTGTAAATAAACAGGAAAAATAAGCAAGACAGGGTGGTCAGATGTAGTCATGCAGAGATAGCAGCAGGCCTTGGCAGCGAGGAGACTGCAATGATGTCAGTCAATATCCTGAAACAGCAAGGCAGCCAGTAATCCACACTCGAACAGGAAGCAAACACATAGGAACAGAAGACTCGAGAGAATTCTGACAGAACAGAATGGCAAGACATGAGCACAAGAACGATCTGACAAGGAACACAGCAAACACAAGACTAGATATGGGTGACAATAACGAGCTGCAAGTACGGTTAGTCTGATTAGCTTGTCAGCACAGTTAGTAGCTAGGCAATGCTGACGAGCAATCAAACCAGTGACGGAAATACAACAAAGCCATGTCAGAATGTGTACACAGACCCGTGAACCGTGTGTAAGACTCCTCCTGCAATGACTCTCCAAGCCACTAGCCAACACTGTCTGATTCCTCTTGCAATGACACTCCAAGCCACCAGGGAGAGCTGTCTGCTCCTTGCTGCAATTACTCTCCCAGCCACTAGGTGGAACCACCTGCTGTGAACTCTTTAGTTATGACTGCTAATCAAGTTAATGTGTTCCACCTGTATTTTTGCTGTCACAATTGACTGACATAAAGTATCGAAGGTGGGTCTAGAACCCAGGTCTCCGGGTTCTAAAAAAGCTATTTTTCTACCTCTGGTCTACTGGGGAAGACAGTTTGTAGAAGACCCATGTGCAGAAGCAAAAGCAAACTAGGAGGCTCAGATAACTCAAAAGTAGGCAGTCTTTACTTGATTGCAGTTCACAAATTCAAACAAACAAGCCGTCATAGCTTCACAAAACAAAACATAAAGTAGGCCCAATGGCAACAGAGAAACAGCACTTAACTCTTCTAGAACTCAGGAAATCCATAGATGGTAGGCTCAAGACTGAACACAGCTCAATGAAAACTGCCAACTTAAATAGGGCAAAATACAGGTGGAACACATTAACTTGATTAGCAGTCATAACCAAAGAGTTCACAGCAGGTGGTTCCACCTAGTGGCTTGGAGTGTCATTGCAAGAGGAATCAGACAGTGTTCCCTGGTGGCTTGGAGTGTCATTGCAAGAGGAATCAGACAGTGTTCCCTAGTGGCTTGGAGAGTCATTGCAGGAGGAGTCTTACACCGTGACAATACTCCTCCCCCTAAGAGCGCCTCCTGGCATTCCCAGGGGAAATTGCCTGGCGATTGTAATCATCGAAAAGGTAGAGATCCAATGTGATCCAAATGTCTGTTGCAGGAACCCAACTCCTCTCCTCCGTGCCGTAACCCTCACAGTCCACCAAGTACTGGAACCCGCGCCCCCTCCGCCTTGAATCCAGAATACGATTGACCGAATAAGCAGGTTTCCCATCTACGATTTGTAGTAGTGGGGTAACTGGGGCAGGTGGATTAATGGTAGAATGAAAAACGCAAATAAAAATGGGGTTTCATTTAGAAACATGAAAGAGAGGATGACTTCTGTATGCCGGAGGATGATTGAGCTGGACTGCCACTGGAGTAAGAATATTGGTGACAGTAAATGGGCTAATGAATTTAGGAGCAAGTTTATTACAGACGGTGCACAATGTGGGAACAAGGTCTCGAAGGAAATGACAGCGATTGAAGGAGTCCAGCAGGGGGTTGTTTGGAAGTCTTACAACTGGCACAAACCGTGCAAGCCAAATCAAAACGACGTATGTTGCGAGTCATAGCTTGCCACCAGAACCCTTGCTTTATGAGAAACATGGTATGACTCACCCCCGGATGACAAGCCACCTTAGAACAATGACCCCATCGAATTACGTCGGACCATAAACTCTCAGGCGCGAACAAACTATTTAGTGGGCACCCGGGCGGAGGCGTTACCCCATGTAAGGCAGCGCAGACCTTCGACTCAATCTCCCAAGTTACCATTGAAGCCACAAATCTCTGTGGAAGGATGGGCTCGGGAGAATGCAGGCTTTCAGATTGGTCAAAAACACGGGACAACATGTCGGGTTTGGTGTTTTTGGAACCCGGACGGTAGGAAATGGAAAAATCTAAATGACTGAAAAAATAGCTCACCTGGCCTGCCTAGAGTTGCCTAGATCTGATGTACTCGAGGTTCTTATGATCGGTCCTGAACGTCTTGGTGGAGGTCAAGGTGATCAGAGACTGAGATTTACCAAACACTGGTAAAATTGGCAAAGTCCAGAAACCTCTGCAGTGCCTGTGGTAATTAAAAGCAATCTTCCACTAACCCCCTCCCTGATGTGGAGCAAATGGTAGGCGTTACGAAGGTCCAACTTTTTGAAAAAATAAGCCCCTGCAATTTCTCGAAGGCCAAAGACATCAGCGGCAAATGATCGGTATCATTTACCGTGATGCTGTTCAGTCCTCGATAATCAATACAAGGATGCAGGGAACCGTCGAAGAGAAACAGCTCGAGACTTACTGAACACTTCATTCAGGTAAAGTACTCACTGGGCACGTTAGACAGGTATGCATGTTCATCCTGCAACACAGAAAAAGACACAGAAGAACACGCAGACACCCAAGCAAGAAGCATGACAATATTTGCTCTATGACAAGACAGTGTTCAGATTTTTTTTTTTCCAGGGGTAAGGATACTTAATGTATCAAATAATGAGACTAAGTTTGATACTTGCATGTCTCGCCCATTTGAATTAATCTGTCCTGATGCAATTTGTTGAGGCTCCAGTTGATCTTTGCTGATGTTGTCTTGATGAGAGAGAACCAGTGTGAGTCAGAGGATCTTTGGTGAATGGAAAGGCAAGGGCTGCAGCCTGCTGCAAGCTTGGGGGTCCTTGGGGCCTTCTAGTTCAGCATCATCTTCACCTTAGGACTTCTCAGGAAGGACCACGAGAGTAAGAGAAGAGTAAGAGGGGGGTGATCTTGTGATCAGTGATTTTTAAAGCGTGAAGATGTCACACCCTCTGGAGGTGTGTGAGCCAATATGAAGTTGTCCCTTTGGAGGGAGTTTTTACGACCCATTTGTGTTCTAGCAGGGCATTTGAATGTGTAATTTCATTGGGTGTTTAAGAAAAGAATCTTCACAATTCTTATAATACTAATGTGTCATAATACAAATAATATAATACAAAGTTAGCAAAATGTAAATGTAAATTAACAAATGGGGGACGTAGATTGGAGTTTATAGAGACCAAACATGCCACACATATGATTTTGGTTACCCATGGTATGCAAAGTCTGAAACATTAACCCTTTTCTTGTAAAGAGTTTACAAGAAAACGTAGGCCAAACCTCATAAAAGGAAAATCATGAGATGGGAAAATTAGATACATAATTATGCATTTCTCAAGTGGATATATATAGAATATATAGGATTAACAGGGTTAATTTCTCCTTCTCTTCACAAATTAAGTGAGAGTCACAACTCTCTGGAAATTCCTTTGGGGTCGTAAAACTTGTTATGAGTCTTAATGGCCCTCATTTATCATTCTTGCGTAGAAACGGGCGTATATGTTGGCATAAGATTATGCTTACTCTCCTCTCACCGCCTGATTTATGAAGCTGTGCGTACCTTTGAAATTCAGGTGTACGCAATACCTGCCCTTGATAAATCCCGCGGCTGAAAACGATCGTCATTAGAATAACACGCCCCTATATATTCAAGTCTCCGCTTCCCCCATGCCCTCATTTTACGCCATGGACACACGGAAGACGGCAAAGAAGAGAAACTTCTCTGACGTAGTGCTGCGTTTACAGCACGTCTTTTGAATTAGCATTCAATTTCGAATCACGTCACATGTATTGGGGTGTACAATAGTGATGATGATGATGTGATGTGGAGTACCATTCATTCACATTAATAATTGCATGACAATTTGTAATATTCTTATTATTATTAGTATGATTTGTATTATTAATGACGCTTATTGTTATTTAGAAGAAGAATGTCATTATTATTATTTGTATTATTATTATTATTTAAAAGAAGAAGAATGTATTTTTTATTATTTTGTCAGTCTGAATTATTTTTTGGTCATTGAAAGCCTTTCGTTACCGAACCCAGTCCGTGCGCAACTGCCGGGCCAAAACGTCAGGGTAAAGCGCACAGGCTCGCAACTGAAGGAATACATATGCTTATAAATCAAAAGCTTTGGTAAAGTCACACAAATTAAACATTGAAGTCCATGTTGCACAAAAATAAACACTGAAGTTTATAATTACTATGTTGTTGTTGTTGGTCATAATATATCATATCTTTTAGTTTGTCAGTGCGTTTTGTGGTGTTAGGAATTGTTTTTCTGCGCATTTCCGCACTAACTCAAAACGTGCGTACACCACCTCCTGAGCTGGCGTAGGATTTGAGCGTGCCGTACGCCAACGTCCATATTGATAAATCTCAAAGTCACGTGGTTTTGGGTGTACGCCAGGTGTACGCTGGAAATTTGGTGTATGCACTTTTGATAAATGAGGGCCAATGTGTCCTGCAACAGGACACCAGGTTCTGCCAGTGGGTAAGCTTTATTTGTGATGTTAGTTGGGGGAGTTTCATAGGCCTTTGTTGGGAGAGTGAGTTTGCTGGATTATTCATTAAATATAATGAATAGTTAGTGCGTGTCTGATTGGTCCAGACGCTACAACAGGAACAGAAGACTCGAGAGAATACTGACAGAACAGAACGGCAAGACATGAGCACAAAAATGATCTGACAAAGAACACAGCAAACAAGGCGACAATAACGAGCTGCAGGTGGTGATTAGCTCGTCAGCACAGTTGGTAGCTAGGCAACTCTGATGAGCAATCAGACCAGTGACAAAAACACAACAATGACATGTCAGAATGAACACAGACCCGTGAACCCATGACACCAACATGAAAATGTCTTTTTGAAATAAAAACTTTTACTAATTATGGGCATAATTCAAATTCAAAATTGCTTTATTGGCATGACTGTACATAATACAATATTGTCAAAGCTTGGAATACATAGAATAATAATAAAGACATCAAAATAATCAAATATTATAACATAACTTAAATTTAAATGTACATCTTAAATTGTAAAAATTAACAGTATAACAAATTAGAATATGTGTAAACATTTGATACCACAGTGTTTTAACATATACAAACACACACATTACTGAGGGTCACTGTGGTGGACAGTGGGAAACACACTGAGGTCAGACACAATACACACATTACACACACATCCACCTGCTGTCTCTCAGGCTGTGGCACATACACACGTATCTGGCAGTCAGTGCTGCTGTCTGTCCCTCTCCTAATATGATCTATATCTGTTCTATTTCAGTTATGGCTGTAAAGTTCTTTATTAAGTTAGTTACTTTGTTTAAGTAGAGGTCTCTGATTGAAGTGTATTTTTGACAGTGAAGGAGGAAGTGTGTCTCTGTCTCGATCTCTCCTGTCCTACACTGAACACACACCCTTTGCTCTCGGGGTAACCAGCTCTTTCTGTGTCTGCCGGTCTCGATGGCTAGACTGTGTTCACTCAGCCTGTACTTGCTCAGGATCCGTCTCTGCTTTGTGTCTCTGACACTCTGGAGATATTCTTCCAATTCATCATTTGATTTCAGAGTTCGATAGAATTGTAATTTACTTTGTGTTTTAGTTTCCTGATCCCAATGTTCCAAATATGTATTTTTAGACTGTTTGATATTGATAATTTGGTTTATTCTGATGTTTTGTGTGAGAAGCAGTGCTGGTCTGAGACTGGTTAGTGTTAGTCGGGTTAGTAAGTCTCAGAACCAGCTGACTGAGGGGACTCTTTTTGGGGTTCAGTTCTTGGGTTTGTAATGCTTTAAAATGTAGCGATTCTGTGGGACTTGATTTTAGATGCATCCAGAATTTGAGGGATCTTTTTTGCATATTAACAATCAATGGGAATCGGCCTAACTCTGCCCTACATGCATTATTGGGTGTTTTCCTTTGTAATTTTAGAATAATTTTGCAGAATTCTGTGTAGGGCTTCTGTTGAATGTCTGTCCCCTCTAGTGTAGCTCTGATCACTGAGTGGACCCCAAACCCAACATGACATCATGACTTTGCGTAAACATACACGCCACTTTCAAGTCAAGTGGCGTGTTATCTATACGCATTTTGAGCTATCCGCGTGTATGTCCACGCCGAAATCTTTTGCGTGTATGTCTACACCATTAAATGTCTGAGTGATTCCGCGTGTATGTGTACGCCGTTAAATGTCCGAACGAAACGAAGCAAAATCTATATCTACATCTGTGGAGCGATATTTCTTTTCCTAGGATGGTAGGAGAACACTCATAAATGGTATTAACCCCAGTGACGGGTAGGTTTAGGGACGGGGTTGGGGTAGGTCATATATTTATATATACATAATACAGTAATATAACGTTAAGTCAAAGGCGTTGATAAACACGCTGAAAAGCGATTATGCGTGTTGATAGCACGCCAAAAATGGAAATACGAATTGGCGTGTCATACATACGCCATTTCATGAGATCAGTCTGCCAAACCGCACTTCCATACAGCGCAATGGACTGAATTACACTATTAAAGATTTACATTTTTTCCAGATTGGAATCAGTAATTCAATGTTTTGGATTTTTTTCCTTAATGGCGTATAGAGCTCTTCGAGCTTTATCTTGAGAGCATTTACTGCCATACTGAAACTCCCAGATGCAGTGATGACCAGGCCTAGCTAAGTGTACTGCATCGTGTGCTCTAGAGAGGTGCTGCCTAGACTGAACTGATATCTGTGTTCCTCACATCTGGGCTTCTTCGAAAAGACCATGATGTTGGTGTTTGTGAGGTTGACTGCCAGGGCCCAGTTCTCCAGCAGGTCCAGGTGCTGCTGTAGTCCCTGTGCAGTGGGTGACAGCAGCACCAGGTCGTCTGCATACAGCAAGAGCTTGATGCTTTTGCCTTGTAGAGTCTAGGGCCTGTAGACTGTTCCAACTGCACCGCTAGTTCATTCAGTAAATCTTGAACAGCGTTGGACTCAGGCTACAGCCCTGCCACACTCCTCTTTTCTGGGTGAAGAATTCTGTATGTTTGTTGCCAATTCGTATTGCATATTTGTTGTACGAATACATTGATTTTATAATGTCATAAACATTACCCCCTACACCACTTTGTAAAAGTTTGTAATATAATCCGTTGTGCCAAATAGAATCAAATGCTTTTTTTTAAATCGACAAAGCATGCAAATATCTTTCCGTTTTTGGTCTGTTTTTACGTGTTAATTGATTAGGGTGTGTAGGGTGTGAATGTGGTCAGTCCTTCTGTGATTTCGAACAAAGCCAATCTGACTTGGGCTCAGGACATCTTTGTTTCTGTAAGATTACCACAAGATAGAATTTTTCAAACAAGAATATAGTCTTCATAAAATAATGTTTAATATAAAATCTTTGGTATCACTCTTTGGAAAAACAAATGCCATAAAAACGACCTTTTCTTTCAGTAGCAAAAACAATAATATGGCATTTATCAGTATAACAATGTACCTGACAAAACAAGATTTTCATAAAATTGAGACTCGCCTGTAATCGTGTGGTGTTTTTTTTCCGCAGGGGTGGTATGATCCAGACTGAGGAACAATATGAATTTGTGCATCATGCCTTGAGTCTCTATGAAAGCCGCCTTCCTGCAGAGCCTGGACAATGAATTTTAACTACTAGAGGAGCTTCAGTTTTCATACCAAGAGATCTGCTATTGCCATGAAATTTCTAAATCACGAGAGAAGGCGCCAGATCGTGTTTGTGAAGAAGGATTTTTGAGCTTGTCAAGGCAAGGGTTGCACACATCTGATGTTGTCTGGAAGCCGGTGTTGTCGGCAAATGTATTTGTTGTCAACTTTTCGATAGCCTCTGTCATGCTTTTCAAGGCTGTCAAATGGTTTTGCCACTAGTGTTAAAGTGTATCAGTGTCATTGTACAAGATATAGTTCCACTAAATAATGCTTTTTTTGAACACAATATACACAGCATAAAGACTATATCAGTTTTCCTTAATTTTTTCCTGATTATAGGTTTCAAAACCGTGGGCATTTTAAAATTACTTAATTGTCTTTATGCTGCAGAATAAATGAGGTATTAATATTCTGTGTATAATAGTATGATCATGTTTCATCAGAATTTTTTCATTTTTTTTACCTATTTGTTAACAGTTTATGAGCATATTCTTATGCTGATGCAGAACACAATTTTGAAATATTCTGTTTCCTGTGTTGCTGCTGCTGAATCTACAGCTGCGATTTCAAAGTCTGAATTGAATTTTATGAGAGAGAAAGACTAGATGACTCAACATTTATATTGCGGTGTCATCGCTGTAATGCACACAACAACAAACCAACAGCAAAACTATCTTATGAGCGGGTTCTTTTAAATAACAAACAAATATGGAATTCATGATTTTTCGGTTTACAGACAATCTATCAATCGGTCTAGAGACTTACTAAATCTGTCACCGATCCTTACGGAACCAAAATTATTAAGTGGATTAAAATGTAATATAAAAAAATCCTTATTATTAGGGAAAATAATCATAATAAAATTAATAAATAAAAGCAAATACATTTGAGGAAATGATGTAATTATATAATATAGCTAAAATTTAGGAGATTGTATTTGTATCTAGTGGTAATATTATTCTAGTGTCTTATTAAATATTAATGTTTGAATATTTTCCCCCAAATGCATACATTTGTTGTGTATTTTAGGGTTTCATGTATCCCGGGACCACATGCGTTTTGCTGCTAATACTGCAATTGTTTATGGCTTTAGGAATTAAATATGTTGTATGAGAGTGAATATTTCTAAGACATTTATTTTCTATTGTATTTATTATTAAAAAAATTATTGTTATTATAACCTGATACTTTTATAAACTATGGTTATTGTCATTGTGCACTGTTACGCAATATATTTTCCACTATGTGGGCTTAATGTTAGGCAGTCAGTGACTTTTTCCTATTTATCCTTAATGATGATGAATGTGAATACTCTCAATAATAAACAATCCATCATAACCACAATTACAGTATTGTAATCTGCACATATGGATGCCTCAGACAGTGAGGGTAGCAGTATAAGCAACCCAAACTGATGATCTGAGCTGTTTTTATATGAATCTTTGGTTGTGGTAGAATTAATTAGTCTCGTATAATGGGATGTATATTATAAATGCATAACTTGGTCCCGATAATCCTTTAGAAGTTATTTGTCAGTGCTATACTACTATACTTTCCACTTATAGTGTGTGTTTGGTCCTATAACAATGTTAAACCCTCACCTAAAGCCATAATATCTCATGTTTACATTTTTGGCACTGCAAGTTATGTTTTATATATGTTAAAATATGCTTATTCTGTTATTAAAACCTGTCATGTGAAGAAGTGTTTTTGTGAATAAATAAATAAGTGAAACTGCCAAGTCAGAAAGCATACAGAAACTATGATTCTGACGTTATGGTCATTACTGCCAATAAATTAACCCTGTTATCATGTCTGGATCAGGGTTTTGTTCCTTTTTTTTCTAAGACTCTTCTTTCAATGTTCATTTCATTCCATTGTGTACAGTTCCTTTTCCTTAGCTGCCTAGGTTTTTAATGCTTTTATGAAGAAAAAGTTGATACTTTTGAGTGTGTAGCAGAAGAGAAGGCAATCATAAGGCTTGAAGCTTACGTTGCTATTTTGAACCAATAATCGGAACAAAAAGCAGTTGAAGGATGACGTGCATTCATTTGTTTATCTGACTCCAATATAATGAATCTGACTCCATTAAAGTTGTAGTTATTCTTAAACCTCTTATTCTGGTAAAAGTCTTTCTTAGAACTGATAGGAAAGTGTAGGATTTAACCTGAACGTTTAGATTGGAAAGTTAGTCACTTTAGCTTTCAACATTATCAGTGGTAAAATGAAAGATTCTCAAAGCCTTTAAAGCAGGCAAAGTGGTGTGCAAGAGTGGCAAGGTAAAAGCCTTTCTCCAAGATCAACAGTACCTTTCCTTCTTATACCCCAAGTAAAGCATTGTTATGAGTGAGGACTGTTAGGACAGTGACTGTTAGGAATTGAGTGATGAATCCCTTGCATCAGATACTGTACAGCATACTGTGAAGAGGAAGAAGGCCATTGTCCCATGTTTAATTCACATGTATAACTTATGTAATCTGCAATTACCCTGCCTCATTGGCTGACGTATTTAGCAAATATATTATGTATAATGCTTTATTTATTTATTTTATTTCCTGGAAAGGCCTTATATGGGCAATGATATAACTGCTACATATGTATTTTATTTATAATACAATGAATACAACATTTGTATGATGTTTTATAGTATTTACCCGGTAGTACTGTGAGTGTTGCAGAGTTATATGTGTGTGCAAATGCAGAAGCTGCTGTACAGTATAACTGTCCCAGCTGCTTAGAACTGATGAGTTGCAAAAAATAAAGGAGGGATCATAATTGCAAAATACCCAGGGAAGGATATAATGTATATCAAGAATCAAACAAAGAAACATGGAGAAAAAAAACAGCCAAAAGATCAGAAACTCTTTCCAAACATATATTGATATATAGACAATATTTTCATAAACATATGCCAAACAATAACACCAGCCAAGCAAACAATCCCAAATAGCAACCGTAGGCGATCAGAAGAGGATTCTGGAGAATGAGTTAATGGTAGATACGTCAAAAGTCAATTTCCTCAGGATGAGATCAGACTTGTTTGTAGTTTTTAAGAGATCATATAGATGTCTTTCCAACAGAAAAGTTATTTTCATTCCTTGGCTAATGGCATTACTGCCTCCAAAGGGAATCAAGGAATTAAGTCCTCTGGTAAGTGATCTAGGAGTAACATAACAGCACAAAAATCATATTTGGGTAGCAAACAAACAGTTTCCCAAACCAAGAATAGCAGCAAACAGCATGTGGCAAATCACACTGGATATAATACTTCTTCTACTACTTTCCCTTTTTATAACAAACATGGGGTGCTACTAGTGTGGCTAGGATGAACATAGCCCCCAGAAAAGATAGTATGCCTTGTAACAGGCTGTAACTGTTACAACAGTTACATTTGAGTTCAAAGAGATAAGGATGAAACCGCTCCACATATCACTCTGCAGATTACTTATTTATGCTCAAAGTAGAGAAGAAAACATGTATTAGAGCAACTTTATAACCATTATGTGTTGCATGTGACCATGGAGGAAAATGCAGACAAGAGGAGAAGAGCTTGCCAAATGTGGAGGAGAACACATAAAACAGTTATTTTTTAAAGAAGGGCATTCCCAGTCTGGTTGACCTCATTTGGGGAGGTCACTAATCTATTTTAAACAGTCTTTGTGCAGTTTACAGACACTATTCAATAACGCGATTAGAACAAAGCAATTAAGAATAAATAACTTACTACATCAGCTGAATCCGTGCTCCTCGAAATGAAACTACGAGCACTTCTGAGGTAACTTTTCCAGAATTATTACGATAGTATTATTCCTCACAGCGCAGCAAGACGAGGTAAAGTACAAGATTCTTATTAAACTGGATGTTTTATCCAGCTGATGTGGGCGTTGGCATGGCTTGCCTCAACATTTGCGTTTGAATAGCGTGCGCTCTCCGTGGGCGTGGTCACATTAACACGTAATACGCTATAATTAGCTGAAAGGAAAAAGACTGACATCTCTCTCTTTTCGTACAGATTACATAAACTGAGAATATTTGTTTTTTATATAAATTACTTCATAACGAAAAATCTTTCGTGCCTGTGTGACAAGTATTCACTGAGTTACAGTTCATTTTCGGACGCGTTTCAGAATGGACAGAATGGACAAAATTCGCATTATGTTTATTTTTCTTTATTTGACAAAAAGCAGAACACTTTGTTTTTATTGTGAGTATCCACAAAAAAATAGACACTTAACAGGATCTAATGATGTATAAAACTTATATGTAAGATCAGAATAGTAATTTGAGTCTCTTTTCCACTGATAAGGAAAAAACTGAGCTCATCGCGCCGGCGCGATAGCCGACCCCAGAGGGTTAATATTCTTGGGGGGGCCTAATTATGACATCCAATAAAATTTTCTATAGGACAACAACCAACTATTGCTACAACAGTTTCACGGCGATTTCAATATCCTAACTTCAATTAGCCTATTGCCCAATCATATTTCGGCTACTGAAGATATCATGTTACAGTTATAGCCTTGGTTTGCATTGTTCCGTGAACACAGCATGCTATAAGCCAACTTCCTATAATAACAGCCTAATAGTCAAAAATCTCAAGTTAAGTATTACATCAACCATGCATAATCAACTATGACACACACTCACACAGATATCAGTGTCAAATGCATAATTTACACCACGGCTGGTGCAACTTAAGAAGAGTAATAAAAACAACTGTCCTACTCACGTTCTTAATACAGCTGAAGTCGACGTTTTTGGGAGTGGAATCTCCTCATGAGTTTCTCTTTCCATTCGTTTCTGAATCTCCTGGTTGTTTCATTTACATTGTTGCACAGACCACCAACACAGATGTCTAGTTTCTACACGCTATGTGCGTTCTTTTATTTCTCTTCTGAACAGTTGCACTTGCCTTACTCATTGCATTAGTGCCCCCTAGTGGCACTCATCAGTACATCTTTCTTTTTTTTCCTTTTTTTTCTCTCTCTACATATTCCAATGTAACAGTCAAATAATAGAATAAACAAAAATTCTTTCAGAAAACTTTCTGTTGTTTTTTTATTTATTTTGTTTTCACAACATTTTAACTATTTAACAATGTGTTACATATCAACACTCTTCAATGAGTCTTTTGGGCTTAACAATTATTCTCCTTGGCCTCACTGGTTTTTCTGTGAGATGAGATGACGATAGCGTACTATCTGCAAAGCTTTTCTTCTGGGTACTTTTCTGCCCAACATCTCTCTCATTGCAATGTTCATTTGAAGCCAAAGAATTGCTCCCATCATCCACATTGAATTCTGTTTTTGGAAT